TCAAACTTTATAGCTAAGAAATGTTCATATACCAAAATTTTACAAGAAAATCTTTTTTATAGAACGCATATGTTTCATAAACGAAATATTGAGCTTAAAAAAATCTTGCAATTTGACTGGTACAATAGGTGTTTACACCATAGTTTAGTAGTTATTATACATGATAGGTTTAATGAACACGAAAAGGTCTAGACTGGTTCTAAATGGAGCTCGACTTATGGCTAGGACTAATCAACAATAAACCCTAAATGTTAGGCGTCGATATACATGCCTAAATTGCCCATCTTAATAAAAAAAAGTAATTACGGCATTTAGGCAGCCGAAATTAGTCTTATATGGTTAGGTTGTAAGTTGGTACCCCCGTCCCATATCACGTTTTTTTTTATATTTTCTTTTATTATATCTTCTATTATTATTTGTTTTATTTTATTATTTTTTTCCTGTAAATAGTTATTATTTATATTTTCGTCCTGCTCGTGCCTTTGTTTACGTTTAAGAACCGTGGTAACGACTAATGTAAACATTAGGGCGAGCAGTTGGGGCTAATTGTTTAAGCCATAACGATAAAGATTTGCAAATTCGTAAAACGATAAACATTGAAGTGAGCAGTGTGGCTTTGTACTACGTGAGGCTTAACCACGACTGCTCACTAGCGAGAAGGATATGCTTAGCGTTAAGAAAATAGAATAACATTAGTATAGTCTTCCCAAGAACGAATTTTGTATAAATATGGGTCCTCTTCGCTCTTCCGAAAGGACCAGTTAGAAAATAACTAAAATAATAATAAATTACTATTATTTAAACCCGAATCTTTAACTTCCCTAAAAATCAAATATTACCTTAACTTCGTTAAAATAAACAACCGATTTCTTACTACGTTACTGATTAACGACTATAAGTCTTTCGATTAACATAAAGGAAGCCGAATAGACCTTTCACTGAGTAATTGAGAGCCGTATCCTTGTAGATTATAATACGTGAGAATATCCCGAGCATCGGTACCTGTTAGAATTATTAGTTGGACAATTAATTTTAATATAGTATTTGATTAAGCGCTACGATTATTTTGTTATTAAGATTGTGATCAACGTTCGGATCACTTTATGTTATTTTATTATACGTTTAAGAATAACGCCACCCTTACCGACATCATATTGATCCAGATCCTCCCTTAAATTATCATCCCTTACGACCAAACCCCCTCCTCCCGACCTTAAATTAGATAGATTATTGATCCCTTTTGTTATTACCTATCCTTTTTGTAATAAATAGAGTCTTGTAACCCGTACCACGTTAATTATTGGAGCTAAACCGGACATCATTAACCGCTCTCCCAATTTACAATAGTAACAATATATGCCGAAAATAATTTTCATATTTGCCGAAATTATTGTCGAAATTTTTTGAACTCTTTTCATCAAAATACATCATATAGTAGAGTTATTTCGGAGGGTTTCATATAAAAAATTTAGCAATGCCGAAAATACTTTTTTTCAAAAATAATTTAGGCACACATGTATAGGCGTCGATTAAAAACGGGCGAACCTGCTGGAAAATTTTTTGATAGAAAAAATAACCTTCGTCGGCGGATTTTAAGGCTTCTTGGGGTTATTCTTTGATTGCCAGAGCAGATTTTGATATTCACTTGCACTGACATAAGGCGGATTAGCCACAATAATATTAAATTTTTCTTAGATAGCATGTGAAAATCATCGCTTCGTTGTGCCAAAATTCACAAAATGCAGATAGAGCATGATTTAAATCACTTTCCATATAAAGTAAGTACTACACCAAGGCAGGATTGGTACAAGGATCTAATTACAATTAAGAAGCTCCAAAAACCCACGCCAAGAACAATCATTTCTGCTGCGAAAAGCAAGTCACACGCAACCCAATCCTCTCTCCCAGAAACCTGGCAGTTTAAAATAATTACTAAATTCTATTTTCCATATTGAAGGCCTGCATTATGCGGCACTTTAGCGGTATGTTCTATAGAATAGCGGGATGTTCTATAGAATAGGTGGGCAATATAATAAATAAGCTTCGCTAATGATTAGTAATCATTAATCTTTAATATATTCAGCGGAGTTTGCCCACCTATTCTATCCCTTTAGCGATCACTAAAATTGGAAATTTTGCGTTACATAAAAAACAGGCAAGGAGGAAAGGTGCAGACATATTAAACGTAATAAGGTTGTAACACAATTCGGTTTTTAGTAATTAATATGTCTGCGCCTCTAGTAATGTGTCATGAGAAAAAACGTGCGTTGTGTCAACGCCAATCATCTTTAAGATTTTGGTTTCGATTTATTCTCCAGTAAAACCATCCACTCACGTCCTGGTATATGCATACTTATGAGACAATAGGAACCGAACGATTCACAATATTCATTTATAGCCGCAGAATTTTAACCTAAATACGTAGGACAGTGTAACATGTCCTGCTTTTTTTTATTATAAAAAAAAAAATTTCCCCTCACGATTATATAAATTGTCAATAATCAAAATTTTTTTTCTCATTTCAAAATGATATTATTATCAAACGAATGTTTTCTTGAAATATTTAATTATCTACAACACAAAAGCTTATTTTCATGTTTACTGGTAAATCGTCAATGGTTTAGATTTATTGCACCAATTTTATGGAGTGAACCTCTAAATTATTTTGATGATACAAGAATTATAAGTATATACCTCTCGCTATTAAATGCTGAAGAACAAGCTTCGTTAATTCCATTTGAAATAATACTTCCGAATGGACCGAAACCATTGATTAATTATGCTACTTTTATTACCACTTATGAAAACTATTTTCTTAACAGTTCAATAGAAAATTGGATTGATAATGAAGGTCGTGACCTTCATAATTCAACAAATTATGATTATGAGTATTATAAGGATATAATTCAAATAATCAAATGTTCATTGATTGCAATGTTTTTACGAACAAGTAAAAAACTTAAATTTGTAACATTTTACGGTCATGATTATGGTATATTTACAAAATCTTTAATAGAAACCCTTTATAGAAATACAACTATTAACGACATTAATTTTGATTATCTTGATCTTGATTTTTATGAAGTAAAAGCAATAGCGGACGCTCTTGCCAAAAACACCACGCTCAAATCATTAAGTTTTACCCATAACAATAGTCCTGAAAGTGGAAAATTGATAGCTAAAGCACTTTACGAAAATACTACTCTTTCATCTTTGAGTTTTAATTTTAGTAATCTTGATGATGAAGATGGGAAAACATTAGCAAATGCTCTTTCTAAAAATTCTAGTATAACATCTTTAGATCTTTATGGTAATCAACTTGGTGTCGAGAGCTTAAAAATACTGGCAGAAATTCTTTGCAAAAATATGTCTTTGACTTTATTAAATCTTGGTAGTAATTGCTTTGGCGCTGAGGGAGTAAAAGTAATTGCAGAAGCCCTTCGCAAAAATATTACGCTTACATCTTTAAATCTTCAAGATAATAAGATTGGCGTTGAAGGAGCAAAAATATTGGCAGATGCACTTTGTGAAAACACATCTCTGGCCTGTTTAAATCTTGAAAATAATCAACTTGGGGTTGAGGGAATGAAATTATTGGCAGTTGCACTTTGTAAAAACACCTCGTTAACTTCTTTAGATCTTTGTGATAATCAACTTGGTATTGAAGGAGGAAAAGCATTAGCAAATGCTCTTTGTAATAACATCGGCCTTAAATCTTTAAATATTGCTTCTAACGAATTTGACCATGAAGGAATAAAAAATTTAGCGAAATCTCTTTGTGAAAACTCAACACTTACCTCTTTAAATATTCTTAATAATTTTATTAATGTTAATGAAGGAAAAGCATTAGCACAGGCGCTTCGAACAAACTCATCTTTAACGTCATTAGATATTAGTATTTGTCCCCCTGATGGTGAAGATGTTATAAAAGAAATTGCTAAAGCTTTACGCAAGAATATAACCTTAACTTATTTGACCTTTTACTATAGTGATGTTGATGATGATGATGATGATGATGATTATGATGATTCTGCGTATGACAAGATTTTAGATACGTTGGAAAAAATTCAGAAAAAGATTAGAAAAGATATTTATATTGCTTGTCAATATGATAGTTAATGGCATTAAATTTTAATCATAAGCGTAAACCAATTTAAACTTTAAATACAAACACTAAATTTCCAAAAAAAATTCTTATTATACAGCCATTTATTATTCCACCGAATTTGCGAATAATTAAATTTGTTAAAAATTTTGATTAAATCAAATAATAAATCTATCTTAGAGCGTTCTCAAACGCTTCAATCAATGGGTCAAAGGATGTCGAAACTATGTCAGGAATTGAATTTTATCTAGTAGAAAGTATTTTTTATCGATCAATCGAGCTTGTCATTAAGATAAATAAGGTATTTTATTGCACTTTTGTGCCTACGGGCACTTTGTGCCTAACTTAAAAGTATCAAACACTTATAAAAACAGGTGCCGGGCACAAGCCAGGCACAAAATGCCAATGCCACAAAAAATGCCTGGCCCAAAGTGCCTGGCACTTTAAGCCCATGGGCATAGGCACTGCCCAGGCACTAATGCCAGGCATAGTGCCCAATGTGCCCGGCATGGGCATTTGCAGAACCCTGGTTTAAAGATATGCACAACTTAAATTAATTCTAATAAATTTCAATAATTGCTAAGTCTTCTTATTCGGAACATTAGTGAATAATTTTTATTGAAAATTAAAAATTCCAACTTTGTCTCTAAATAAAAAATTATATTGAATTTTAAATAAATAGAAACTTTCTAAATATTAAAAAGTTTACTAAAATAATCCTAATAAAACAAAATCAAATAAAATAATAAAATTGCATAAAAAATAAAAAAAAAGAGAGAGAGAAATAATATGAAATAAATAAATAAATTAAATAAATAACTAAATAAATAAATTAAATAAATAAAAAATAACTAAACAAATAAAAGATTATAAACTATTTTATTATTTCGTTAAATCAAAAAACATATATTTCCAAATAAATACTAATTGATATTAGACTGGATAGATCAGGTTTGCTATCTGGGTAAAGACTAATTTTCCATTGACTAAATGGTGTTGGAGCAAAATAATTATCTTTATACTTTAAATCATAATATTCATTATCAACAACTATTTCATACAGTTTGCTTATATCAGATTCAGCAGAATAATCTTCACGTACTTTATATTCAAATCTTTTTTTTTCAGGATCAGTTTTAAAACGTATCGGCTTTGTTTTATCTTGATTACCTCTGTCATCAAATGTGCCTGAATGACTAATATAAAGCTGAATTTCTTTTATGGATCCCTCATTTATGTATCTAACTCCTTTTAAGAATACTCTAAATGTATGAAGCCTTAGACGAGTATAGTCTTTTAATTCCTTGCGCTCAAACGAAATGTCGATTTTTACAGATCTATTTTGTTTGAATTCATCAATACATTGTTTTTCATCAAATTCAATAATAATCTTTTTTAGTTGAGGTGTTTTATTCAAGACATTTTCAAAATCTTCAAACATTTTATTGATAACTGTTTCATTGAGTTCTTCGATAACTGAAAGTTCTAAATTGGATTCGGATAGAGTCCAATATTTATAAGCAGAACGATACTTTTCCATGTATCGTGTCATGCAATATTTGATTTCGATAAGGTGTTCTAATAATGGAAGCTTAATTGCGTCATTTTGAGATTTATTTTCTAATTCGAATATTTGAATCCTTTGCTCGAGTCGTTTTTCTATTCTTTTGTATGTTTCTGCTTGCAATTTAATTCGTGAAAGTTCTTCAGACCTTTCAATTGCTTCGATCTTGGCTTTAATATGAGCATCAGCAAAATTGATAAAGTCTGTTAAAGAATTTAAGTATTCTTCTGCGCCTTTAATATTTTGCTCGAACGACTATTAAAATTGTTGCAAAATTGAATTTACAATTAGTAATTTTCAATTAAAGTGTAATGAAAGGAAAAAATGCGCATAGATACTTTTATGAGTTCACACAGTTTATCAATCTTATCCCTAGTTGATTCCCATTTATAACGTAGCATAATTCCTTTTTGATCTTTATTTTTAATACTATAGAAATTATCAATTTATTAATCTATGTTTGACAATATAGTATATCTAAATGTATAGATTACCTTTCTGAAATATTTCCGATATTAAAAGATTCGGTATCTTTACTCAAACCTTCTACAGAATTGTATAGTCCAACGGCCTTAGCGTGACTACTTTTTAAATCAT